TAGGGGTAGGAATATACCTTGCTCAAGGGTATATTATACTTTTAAGTAGCCACTAATCAATGGGAATCGAACCCGTGCCATTTGCTCCGATACCAACTGTAGCGCACCTTATCTCTCTCCCCTTAAGCCAACTGGAAAAGGGGCAATTGCTTGATAAGAGAGCCCTTAGTGGCTATTTTATCCCCATTTATCTCCAAAGGTTCCAAGGATCCATGGTGACAGTATATCTAAATCTCATCCCATGATCACATGCGCTACACAGGCTAAGGGAGCCAAACAAAGTATGTCATCTAGTGAATACAGGCACATTCCCGAAAGTTGGTATGGCATTAGTGTTCTTCCTTTGATCATGGATTCAATGCATCAAATAGCCAAATAGCCAAAAGCTTTGGCAACAAGGGGCAGCCATGCTGGACTCCAACCTGGTGGCCTATCAAAGATTTGTAGCCGCACAATTCTATAACAGCAGCAACAATTGGAGTGGGCATTTGAATTTCAAACAATCTTTGAATAAGCAAATGTCACGCCACTTGATCAAAAGCTTTGACTAAATCGACATAGCCAAGGAAGACCACTCAATTGCATCTAGGTTAACACAAGAGTGGACATATTGGGCTTCAGCACAGCATTCATCCCACCACTCACAAATCCCCACAACTTGCCAACAAAAATACCCTAGATATCATGTCATTTAGGGTAAAAAGTGCTCTTCTATAGTGCGTTATAGCACCTAACCACAGTTCTACAGAAGCATATAAAGGTGGCCATTCATCCTAGTTGCAGACGTTGCCCTTGGTCATCCTCATCCACACAAATGGGGAGCGCCTAGGTCCTATGTGTTGTGTTTCTGTCTTTTATAGAATAGCCCAATAGCAAGTTCAGCTCAGCTGCACTGTGCCGAAATCTTCTTAGCCGCAAAAAAATCAAATTGATTTTTCTCAAAACCATGGCTACCAAGGCTTGTCCAAGGGAAACTTAGCTTAAAGTTTATTTACTTTGTAAAACACATCAAGACAAAAAGCATTAGAACCTTCACCCTAAAATGATTTATTTCTTATTTTTATTTTTACTGTTTTTGTTCAGATGTTGCTCTTAATGCTATTGATGTTGTTTTCTAATGGTACAACTTCTTTCAAGGATAACTTCACTGTAAGATTTAGATCTTTCTGTTAATCTTTCTAAAGATACAAACAGCTATCACATTATGAACTCCCCAAAACAAATATTGAGGTAAGTCTTGTAGCTTAAATAAAATCCTTGAAACATTGCATAATTTATTGCCTAGAAACTTGGTTTAGAGCAATTAAAAGGTATTCACAAGGTAATAGTTATAAGAAAGTAAAACTTTCACATGTTTATTAAATATATATTTATAGTATGCATTAGGAAGTTTGGTTGGAAACTTTACTGGAGTGACCTCTACACTTAGTGTACAAAATCCCAAAGTTACAGGGGATGGACAATCTATATCACAAATATGGATTAGCGATAGTAGCAAAAGAGGAATTCTTGAGGTTGGATGGCACGTATGTGATGTTCTACATTTAGTAATTATAATATATTAAAGAACGTTTTCAGGTTTATCCAATGGTCAGCTCAGGACATTGCCTGTTTATCTACTGGACGGTAATCCAGTTCTCTTTTTTAATTTTTTTGATAAATATGTTATTTGAAACAGGCTGATCGATATCAAAGCACTGGATGTTTCAATCTCCAATGTAAAGGTTTTGTGCAAGTAGACACTAAAGTTGTTCTTGGAGGAGTGATATCTCAGAGAGAAATATCACTTGCCATCTCTCAGGTATTAAGGACAAAAATCTCTAGCTTTTAATGGAGTTTTCAATTTCTAGGACAAGAAAACCCAGAATTGGTGGCTCTTGGTGGATGGCAAGCGCATTGGTTACTGGCCTTCAGCACTACTAAAATCAATCCAACAAGGTGCAAGCTTTGTCGCAGCTGGAGGCGAGGTTGCAACATTGAATGGTAAAGCCATCTTGCAAATGGGGAGTGGAAAGTTTCCAAGTTCTGGGAAGGGATTTGCTGCATACCATAGAAACATAAGAGTTTCGGATGCTAATCACGTTATCCATGATGCAAGGCTTCAGACAACACTGATCAACACAAATCAAGCTTGCTATGGTATTGGAAACATTCAGTATAATCCTCAGTGGGGGTCACATTTCTTCTTTGGTGGACCTGGCTGTTCTTAAACCCGCAAAATGTTGTTAAAATAATAATGCCATGGGAACTTAAATAAGAGAATGGCGGCATTTCTCATCAAATCTTACCCAATGCATGGGAGTTGCGCCAGTGAGCCAGAAGGAGTTCTATTGGATCGAGCAGCAGCTTCGATGGGCAGGTAACACTGGAGATTTGGGTCACGGCAGACGTCTCATCCATGGCACTGGCCTCCGATACAAGCTTTCTCTCCAATCTCATCATCCAGATGTACGGCAAGTGCCGGAGCATCAAAGACACTCCGATTGATTGCGCGCCTGGATTTCTACTCGTACAACATCATGATCACTACATTTGCCTTGAGCGGGCATCTGCGAGACTTGGCAACCTGATCTTCGCTTCTTAGGTGGTGGTGGTCATGGACGATGCGTACAGAGATTCGTAGAAAAGCCTCAAATCTTCGTGGGCAACACTTGAATCTCCACAAATGGTCGACCGGATCGAGCTAGAGGGAGATCTTTCCTGCCATCGCCGCGGCTCTTCGCAATGGTTCTCCTGGGACTCTGGATGGACATCGGCCAGCCCAGGCTACGCTTGTACGCTGAGTCCATCCGCGGCAAATCGCCGGAGAAGCTCTCCAGCGGCCCTCACGTTGTTGAAAACATGATGATCGACCCCTCGGCGCGGATTGGGTCGGGGGCTTGATAGGGCCCGACGTAGCAGTAGGACCGGATTGCGTGATCGAGGAGGGGCGTGAGATTGTCTCGGTGCACGGTGATGCGAGGCGCCCAGATCCGGAAGCACTCGAGCGTGTCCGGGAGTATTATCGGGTGGCACTCGAATCAAAACCAGCATTTTCAAGCCCGAGATTGTCATGTAGTAGAGGAAGAACACACACCCGTATTGTGTGGTGATATCATGGTAACTTATAGCGATTTCGGCATTGGGATTTCAAGGGCTTAAAAAAGGATGCTTTGAGCTGACAGTGAAAGATTCATTGCTTGGAATCAAGTCTCAGAGCAAGAGACACAAACCATGGAACTTCTTTGTAGCTGTTAAGCTGTCTGTGTTGTGTCTGCGGACACGGTAGCTCAAGTGAAAGGCCAAAGAGAAATAACGAAGTTCTTGACCCAATTTTTTATTTTTTAAAATCTTTTTATCTTGTTTTGGTTTTTTCTGGTAGTACTAAGCTGTTGACAGCTTCTTTCAAAATCACAGCTTCACCATAAGCCTGTGTGAGTATGAAAAGATCATCGTGAAAGACAGGGACAGCGACGGGGCTGAAGACGCAGATGTCGTTGCAGATCCAGCAATCTGAGCAGCATTCCTAAACCTGTCGGTCTCATGAGGGAGATATATGAAACATTTTGATTTTTGGCAAAAACAAATTGATATTAAATGTTTTTGGGGTCTCATAATTACCTGTTGAAGTTCCCTGAATTTCTCCATCCTTTTATGGCTTCCTCCATAAAAGAAGCATTGGATTAGCAGCACTATATAACGAAATATGCCCACTATTTTCTACAACGAAATTGGTAAAGAAAATGCAATGTGGTTGTGGCTGGCAATATATATTTGCAGAAAAAATACCCCATTCATTGTGTCCCAAAAGAACTAAATTTCCATCTTTTTGGAGTGTTAGTTTACATTCACTTCCACCACCTTTCCCAGCAGTATCACTCCACCATAGTACTTTCCATTCAAATCCATATAACACTAAGTTGCAATCATATTCCAAAACTAGTTGGTAAAAGCCATTTGGAGAAATTAGACGACTTCTCTTGTGACATTGTACAAAAGATCAGCTTGGAGGTTAGGGTTTTTGGTATTGTAATTAATATCCTGTATGGGAAGATAGTAAGCTGAATAATCAATCTCTATAATGCCCTTACAAAACCATAAAACCGCATAATCCTTGTAGCCACGAAATCAAAAGCTAGTCTTAAGATATCACCAGATATTTGCGAAGGTGATGGACGGCTACAACGTCCACTAGTTTCTCTTGTATAGATACCAAGCCTTGAATAGCAATAAAAGTTTGGAGCAGATGGAAGATTGTGTTCCAGGTAAAATTTCAAGAGAAATTTGTGCTCTAATATTATGCTTGATAATGTCAGCATCAGTAGGACTTATCCTTCTGGACTATTTGTAGCAATGATTGTAACACTACTGCAATAATTTACTGAGAGTAACAAAAAAAACATCAATTTCCTGATGAACCCCGTTTTCTCGTGATATATATACTTCATAGCTGGCTCTAAAGAAAACCTTTCAATTAATAATGTTTAAATATTTTTTTCTTATACCTGTTGAAGAATTTTCATACTTATTACTAAACGAAGTGAGACTATTTATAATAATCTTTGTTTGTTATGGGTAGTCAATATATATCATCTCTTACTATGTGTTTTTAGTCAATAAATGACTTATTTTGTAGTACTGGATATTCTTTGGATTTAGATATGATTGGATATTCTTATATGATGCATTATGTTTAATTTATAACTGAAGTAAAAGTCTGTTTGGTTATCTTCTATATTTAGGCTGATAGAGATATCCCAGCTCTCTCAGGTATTACAAAAGTCTGGGAAGGGAATTGCTGTATACCATAGAATCATCAGAGTCTCGGATGCTCATCAGGTTATCCATGATGGAAGGCTTCAGACAAAACTGATCAACATCAATCAAGCGTGCTTTAGTATGGGAGGGGTCACATTTCTTCTTCAATGGACACAAAATGTTGTTAAAATACTAATGCCATGGGAACTTAAATGAGAGAATGGCGGCATTTGGGGAATCCTTGTCAAATCTTTACCCGATGCATGGGAGTTGCGCCAGTGAGCCAGGAGGAGCTCTATGGCATCGAGCAGCAGCTGCGATGGGCGGGCAACACTGGAGATTTGGCTCACGGCAGACGGATCCATCGTGTCATTCTTGGCACCGGCCTCCGATACAACCGCTTTGTCTCCAATCTCCTCATCCAGATGTACGGCAAGTGCCGGAGCATCAAAGACGCGACCGAAGTCTTCAGATCGATTGCGCGCCCGGATTTCTACTCGTACAACATCATGATCACTACATTTGCCTTGAACGGGCATCTGGATGACGCCAATGCTCTCTTTCTTTCGATGCCCACCAAGGACTTGATATCTTGGAACACGGGGTTGGCATTGTATGGAAAATTGGGCCGGCCACACGATGTAAAGCGAATGCTTTTTTTTATGCCCCAACACAGCGTTGCGTCCTGGACAAGTGTCGTGCATGCATATGCCCGCATTGGGCATCTTGACGAGGCACGAAGAATGTTTGACCGCATCCCTGAGGTCAACACCGTCGCGGCAAATGTGATGCTCTCGGCATATTCTCAGGCTGGAAGTTACAAGCAGGCGCTATCGCTGTTCCAGAGCATAGACCAACGAGATGTGATTTCGTGGAGTGGGATCTTGATGGCATATACCCAAGCTGGCAGCCTACGCGGCGCCAAAAGAATCTTTGATTTGATGCCCAAACGAGACTCTGCAGGGTGGAATATAATGGTCACTGCATATGCCCAGAATGGGCATATGTCGGAGGCAAAGGGGCTGTTCCATTCCGTGCCGGAATTGACGATTGTTACGTGGACGGCCATGATTGCTTTGTACAGCGAGTGTGGAAACCTCCGAGAGGCATCTTTCATGTTTGATTTAATGCCCAGCAGGAACATTATCAGCTGGAATGCAATCCTAGCCGCACACGCCCAAGACGAAAATTTCACGCTCCTAAAGTCCACCTTTGATTCCATGCCGGAACGCGATGCCGTTTCGTGGACGACCTTGATACAAGCATACGGGATAAATGCTAAAGTCTTTCTAGCGGAGAATACGTATAGAAAAATGCCCCTCTGGGATCTAGTCTCAGGGACTGCTCTTTTGGCGGTATATGCCGAGAATAAGGATCCAGACAATGCGAGGATGCTATTCGATGAATTGCCGGAGCGCAACCTGCTGACGTGGAACAAAATGGTTGCTGCGGTGGCAGCCAGCACGGAGCCAAAGGCAATCTCAGACAAGATGCCGGCCTATGACATGGCCACGTGGAACACCATGATTGAGGGATATGGAGGGAGCGGCAACCTTGCTGACGCGGAGGCCTTGTTCCAGAGCGTGAGACACGTCAGCGACTCGGTGATGTGGACGACAATGCTCCAGGCGTACGCGACATGTGGTGACGTGGAGAGAGCCGAGGGGACGTTCAATGACATGGCTGCCAGGGACGGGGTGACGTGGATCGTCATGCTGGCAGCGTACGGCACGAACGCGCGGCTGGCCGAGGCGGTCCGTACGTTTGAGGCGATGCCAAAGAGAAACGCACTGGCTTGGAACACGATAATGAGCGCTTGCATCACTCACGGCCTGGTGGATCGAGCAGCGGAGATCTTTGCAGCGATGCCGGAGCCCAATCTCGCGTCCTGGGCCGCGCTTTTTGGAGCTTTCGCTCACGAAGGAAACACCAACTTTGTCATCGAGTTCTACCGGGAGATGAATCTCGCGGGAGAGAAACCCGACGAGAATGTGTTCTTGAGTATCCTCGCCGCCTTTAGCCACGCCGGGATGATCGACGAGAGCTTGAAACACTTCGAGTTCCTGTCGGATCACGGCCTCGCGGCGATCAAGGAGCACTACTGCTGCATCGTGGATGTTCTGTCCAGAGCCGGCCAGTTGAAAGAGGCTGAGAAGCTGATAGAGACCATGCCTTTCATTCCGGATCAATCAGCCCTGGGAGCACTGCTGTGTGCTTGCAAGACGCAGAGTGACATCGAGCGAGGATCGCGAGCAGCGAGGCTCGCGATCGATCTCGAGCCTGAAAGTTCCTGTGCACCACTGGTGGGAATCGTGAACATCTACTCTGAGAACCCTCTGAGTTAAACGAAAAACACACTGACCTCTAGATGATCTTCTAAAAACTTGGAAGATCTTTACGTTTTCGATCATACAGTAAGTATTCATCTATATCCTGGAAGAACACTGATCATCCAAGAATGTCGATCATATAAAAAGGATCATACCTTTCTCGCTGGAAAGAAATCGAAAGAAATCACGAGAGCCCAGGAGAAGGAACGATCAATGCTGCTATTTGTTGAGGCCATACTTCTCTTGCATCCGGGAGAGCTCCTCCTCCTTCTTGCGCTGGTCGTTCTTCTTGGACATCTTGGCCTGCTGGTAGTAGAGAACGATGAGGTACCTGTTGGCGACATTGAATCCCGAGAGATGATCCACGGCGTTCTTGGCGTCATAGATGTCCTCGTAGACGACAAAGGCGGTGCCGCGCGTGTCCTTGTTGTTCCCCACCCTAATCTGCCGGATCGCGCCATACTTGCCGAAGATGTCATACATCTCCTCGGACGAGATGTTGAAGGGCAGATTGCGCACGTACAAGACCCGATTCACCTCCGGCGGAAGCCGCGTGTTGCCACGCCTCACCAGCGCTGCCATTGCCCAAGAACCCTAATCCCAGAGCCCTAAAATCTAAAATCTCGTGAAATTTAAGTAGACTTCAAAATGGCAGTGCCCTAAAAGGCGAGCCCATCGCAGCCGTCCATCGGCCCATGTGCCCACCACGTGGCAGAGAAAACCGTCCACGTCACTTGTCCGGCTGACCTACAGCGCTTCGTTCTCGGCTTTGTTATCCAACACATTTGGCTGTGACGCTTCCGGCAGGTGCGGCGCGATTGGCGGCGCTGATGCCGTGCTAGGGTTGCTCAATCGGCGCCGAGCCGGGATGCTCCACTCCGATTGGGGCCTCATTCGGCTGTGATCGACCGACACCGAAAAGAGGGGCCAGGGTTTAGGCGCCGGCGCGTCGCTGCTGCTGGCGCAAGATCTGGATCGTCATCTCCAAAGATTTCCTCGCGAATACCGGTATGGTCGTCCTCGATCCCAGGTAGGGGTTTCTAGCAGGGCAGGGCAGGGCAGTCGATCGATCGCTGATCGCCTACTTGCGGCTATGGCGGCATTCCTGTGAGCCAAATCGAGCGATCCTCGGGGGATAATGTCCGCAGATGGAAATTCCGGGAGAGATCGGCTTCTTTCTCGGATGGGATCCTCAGGGCTGGCTGTTTTGCTCGACAGCGGCAGCAAGGAATCCCTGGTCACAGCTGCGGCGTGCATGGTAGACGAGTGCACGCGCTCCACGCTCGATCGATCCATCGCGTTCGTCCTAGATTACTCCAGCGAGGGGGTCGAGCAGCAGCCTCGGTTCGTCGTCGACGATAGCAAGATAGATTCCTCCAGCATCCAGCTCCACCTCCAGTCCCGCCTCGCCGCATTGGGTTCCAGTTCTAGCACCGATGTCTCGGCCAGCTACAAGGATGGTGTTTTCATCGAAGGGAGTAGCGACCCTCTCTCGGGGGTCGTCAGGATGGACAAAGGGAGACCCTCTGGAGATATCAAGCTTTCCAAGAGCTCCTTGTTGCTGGAGAGTCAGGCCATCTTTAGCAGCGCTCGAGCAAACGCTTGCGTGTGGAGGGGGAAGTGGATGTACGAGGTGACCTTGGGCACTGCGGGGATCCAGCAGCTGGGATGGGCGACCATCTCTTGTCCCTTCACGGACTCCGAAGGCGTTGGAGACGCCAGTGACTCGTATGCTTACGATGGTCGACGAGTGAAAAAGTGGAGTGGGAAGAGCCAGACGTATGGCGAGCCTTGGGTGGTCGGGGACGTGATCGGCTGCTGCATCGATCTGGAACAGGGGCAGATCTTCTTCTACCGGAATGGGACGTCGCTGGGGATGGCTTATGACTGTGTGAGGAGGATGGAGGCCAAGCAGGGGTACTATCCGGCTATCTCTCTCTCGCACGGAGAGCGCTGCGAGCTCAACTTTGGCGGTCGACCTTTTAGATATCCAATCGCGGGGTTCTTGCCGCTGCAAGCACCGCCGGTGGACACTTCTGGCACCAACAAGCACGGCTCCGTGATCGTCAAAGCCAAGTATCTGTTTGGATGCTTGCAAAAGCTTGTCCAGCTTGGGAGCCCAGAGGTGGCGGCGGCCATGGCTCCCGCGGAAAGGCTGCGGAGGTTTACTCCACTTCCTGACGAGCAGTTTCGTGTTGTCGGCACTGAGATCTGCAAGATACTTTGCGAGCTGCTGCAGCAAAGCAGTAAAGCGGAGTACGTTGTCTGGGGAGCGCTGGTTCCTTTCCTCACGACAACTTACAGGCCTGGAGCACCGCACGACGGTCACAGTGTGGATCGAGCTCTTGACTTACTGATGCCGATGCTGGGGCAGACTTACTTTGGTACGATCGTTCTTCAGATCATCGAGTGCCTGGCGTATGGGTGCCGGACTTCGCCCCTGGTGTTGGCCGACTCTCCGTTTAGCGCCTCGTACTCGCATTTGGCACTGGCCTGTCATCTACTTCAGCGTGACGACTTCATGGTCATCTGGTGGAAATCTGACGACTTTGAGTCCTGCTTGGAGGGGCTGCTGACGAGAAAGGGGCCTAACAAGTGCGACTTGGAGAGCCTTATACCCACCGTATGGTGGCCGGGTTCCCGTGAAGAACATCCTTTTTCGGAGAGCAACATGAGGCAGATCGTCATTGCTTTATCTCGTGCAATATCCAGGGTAAGTCAGTAGCATGCATGGTTTTCTTGCTCCGGAACTAACGTGGCCATCACTTTTTTTTTTCTTTTCAGATCGAGGACTTGCACTTCGAGCTGTGTAACCGGCTGGTTGCTTTTGACACGAAGTCGAATGCTACCGGTTCTATATTCAGAACGTTTTTGCAACACCTTGTTCTGAAGAACCGTGGGGCACACAGAAACATGCCACCGCCGGGTCTCTCCGACAACTCGGTCTTGGTTTCGGTGTACACTGTACTCTTGCGGTACCTTTCGGAGGGTCTCGACTCGACAGGGGATGGCCATGGAAGCTGCGTGCCGTTCCTGCACAAGGGAGGAAAGCGCAGCTTTCCGGTATCTCTGTTTGTGAGCTCGGACCCCTGCTTGAACGATTTCGCCCGCCTTGGTGGAACCTACAGCTATCTTACGAAGACATGTCCTCTCAGCTCAATCGAATGCGAAGAAGTTGAGTGGGAAGAAAGCAGTATGGACAAGCAGGAAACTAGATACGGACACGATGCTGGGTTGAAAAAGCCATGTTGCTGCATGGACGGTGGTGCAGGTTCCATCGACAGTGGTAACGGTAAGGCTCTATCGAAAGGCTTGGAAACACGCTTCAGTGGCTCCAGTAACAAAGTCAACGAGACTACATGTCCTTTGTCGCCAACTGACGCAGAGAGGAGCTATGATGGGGATATGGAAAGCAAGGCTAGCTCCAGTGGAAGGGTCGAGCCTGTTACCAGCACGTCCTCATTGCTACAGAAGGCCAAGAAGGTGTTCAAGTCGGTAAAGGAGCTGTCATCTGCGGTACGAGAGGAAGAGTTGCTGGATAAGATGGTGTTGCTCTATCATCTTGGAGTGACTCAGAATTTCAAGCAGGTCTGTTCTTGGTCCTTTTGGTTCTCATTCAAATGCTTTAATGTTTTTGTCTGCAGGCTTCTTATCACATGCAGCATCAGATACAACTGATGGCTCAGCTCGATGAGACGGATCGTCAAATCCGTAGCGATAAGACCTCCTCTGAGCAGACAAAGCGCTTGAAAGAAGCGAGAGGTATATTCAAAGAGGATCTTATTGACTATGTACGACAATGTACCTGGTATTTTGGCTTTCTCCCGAGTATATGTGATTCCATTGCCTTTACGATCTTTCCAGTGACAAGTGCTTACAGTGCGTTTCTTTCGCAGGTACCGCGTCTGCTTGCTTTCTAAATGGAAGCAAAGGGGAATGTATGCGACTTGCATGTGGGTAGCACAGCTCCTCGTTACGATCAGCAAGAAAGATGCTTGCTTCAGCTATGTTCCAGAGTTTTACATAGAGACACTGGTGAGCATAACATGCTTTGACTTCGTGTGAGACTTATTTTGTTGATTCTGTTTTGGTTAGGTGGATTGCTTTCACGCGCTGCGAAGGAGCGACCCGCTTTATGTTCCTCCTTCATCCCTCCTTCAACATGGCTTGTCGTCGTTCGTAAGTATTTCCTTGTTTCTTTTGGAACAAATTTCTAACGAGAGCCTTCAGGTTACGTTCCTCGTGACACATTTTCACGACTCCCGAATAGTGAATGCGGAGATAAGGGATTTTCTCCTCCAGTCTATTTCCGTTCTAGTACAGTTTAAGGAGTATTTAGTAGCTATCGAAGCTTGCAAGGCAGCAGAGAACACGATGGCTGGCGCTCTTTTATCGGCCTTCGACAACAGGTTTTGGATTCCGGTGTCCAACATCCTGTTGCGCCTTTGTAAAGGCTCGGGTTTTGGAACTTCCAAGTCCAGCCACGGTGACTCTTGTTCTCCGTTCTTTCAGGTAGACACGTTTCGTTTGTTTTCCTGCCGATCTAAAGTTCTGGTGTGGCTTTGTTTCTGCAGCGGCTGTTGCGCGAGAAATGCTTGAAGGACGAGAAGCTGTTCGCCTCTTTCCTGAACCGCCTCTTTAATACATTGAATTGGACAGTCAGCGAGTTCTCCGTTTCTATCAAGGAGATGCACGACCATGACCACCGGCAGGTTACTCATACTAAAAGTTTTTGTTTTGTTCTTCTGGTGCAACTGATTAATTTGTCCGCTGTGACCAGGTTCCAGAATTTCAACAAAGAAAATGTGCAATAATGTTCGAGCTTTCGTGCAACCTGGAAAGAATACTGGAGTTCTTTACGAAGGAGCTGCCACAAGTTTTCCTGGTTGGTCCGGAAATGAACATCATCCGGCTTTGTGAGCTGGTTCTATTTGTGCTCAACCACACCACCTCAAACACGGCAGGCGAGCTGTTCGACAGGTACGTTATCTCGCGTTTGCTCTCCTCGTGAGTTGTTCACCTCTGTGCGTCTCATGCAGCACCATAAAGCAGCAGGGTCAGTCGCTAGAGAAGGTCAACCGCGCCACCATCCTCGCTCCCGTGGTGGGCATCGTGTTGAATCTCTCCGCCGCCACAGACCCTGCTGGCCACAGAATGGAACACGATATCGCGCGGTCAATCGCCAGCGTCGATGTCTCCTCGGTCGCCACCAGGAACTTCCAGTATTTATTTGACTACGATTGGGTAAGCTTTGCTCTTTTTTTTTTCTGTGTGTTTCCCTCGTCACAAGCTAATCGTGTGACCACTCCCACCACAGTTGAGCACGTTCAAGGGGGATCCTTCGCTCGCAAGGCTGTCGGACCTTAACATATTTATTGAGAAGCTTAAGACGGAGTACGCGGAGGCCAGGAAGCGAGCGTGCAAGGCCGAGGCGGAGCTCATCACCAGACACAGTAAAGGAGGTACTTTCCTCTCTGTTTTGCTCTTTCTTCTTGTTCACGGCCTTGATATGCACAGATGATTTCGAGCTTGGAAATGCAGACAAAGCCGGGGGCGGAGGAGAGCTGTGCAGCATTTGCTATGCGTGCGAGGAGAACGCCGTGTTCCTTCCCTGCAAGCACAGGTCATGCGTGCGCTGCGTCTCTCGTCACCTCCTAAACAACCAGCGCTGCTTCTTCTGCAACGCGGCCATCTGCGAAGTCTGCCCATACGAGGAGCCTTTGTCGCCTCTAAGCGGCGGCGGCCTCAAAGGTGGGGACGTGAATTCCTAGCGATCAAATCGCTCGCTTCCTATAGGTGCCATTCTTGGAGAAACGCTGTAAATTATTCCTTTTGTCTCTCTGGTAGCAAAGCTCTGTAAATTCCAGCCTTGGTTTGCTCAGACGTTGTAGTTGTCGACGTACCACTTGTACGTCTCGGTCAGCCCCTCGCGGAGAGTGATCCTTGGCTTCCACCCCAGGGTCGCGAGCTTGGAGCTGTCCATGAGCTTCCGGGGAGTTCCATCCGGCTTGGAAGCATCCCACTTGAGCTCCCCTGGAAAGCCCACCACCTCTTTCACCATCTCCGCGAGCTCCTTGATGCTAACTTCCGAGCCACTGCCCATGTTGATGTGTGGAACGTCGCTGTACTTGTCCATCAAGAACACGGCCGCGTCCGCGAGATCGTCGACGTGGAGAAACTCTCGCAGCGGCGATCCCGTCCCCCACACCACCACCTCCTTGGCTCCATTCACCTTGGCCTCGTGAAACCGGCGGATCAAGGCCGGAAGAACGTGAGAGTTCTCGGGATGGAAGTTGTCGTGAGGACCGTAGAGATTGGTCGGCATTCCAGAGATGGCGTCCCACTTGTGCTGGATCCTGTAAGCCTGGCACATCTTGATTCCCGCGATCTTGGCCACCGCGTACCACTCGTTTGTCGGCTCCAGCGGACCCGTCAAGAGAGCTTCCTCGGTGATTGGCTGGGGAGCAAACTTTGGATAGATGCACGACGATCCCAGGAACAAGAGCTTGGCCACGCCGCTCCGGTACGCAGCATCGATCACGTTGGTCTGGATCTGCAAGTTGATCCCGATGAAATCGGCCGGATACGTGTTGTTGGCGTGGATCCCTCCCACTTTGGCCGCGGCCACTATCACATACTTGGGCTTTTCCTTGTGGAAGAAATCCTCCACGGCCTCCTGTCTCGTGAGATCCAATTCCTTGTGGCTTCTCAGCAGCAGGCGGCTGAATCCTTCCTTCTCCAGCCGCCGGACGATCGCGGCTCCGACGAGACCGCGGTGGCCGGCAACGAAGATCTTCGCGTCCTTGTCCATCGTCTTCTGGAAATGCGGCGTGAAATCTCTGGCGCTGCGATGGCGCTAGCTAGAGAAGAGAGGATTTTACCTGGGAAACAAGAGATCGCAGCTCCTGCCCGCGATCTAGACGCGCATTCTCTAGTTTCTCCTCCACAAGAAATTCCACGCCCTAAACTATAAAAAAAGTAGTTAAAACCTAACCCAGGGTTAAAGACTTATTGGACCCTTTGCTTTAATAGAAATGGATGAAAACAAAGCTCAAAGAATAGAATTTTTTGTTCTTTTTTCTTTCGGTCACGTTCTATCTCGCTACAAGCTAAGCTGCGATAGTAAGAAGTGTCTCCCCTGATCAAAGAAATCGAAGCTCCAGACCTCTGGTATAACATATGTTTGTTCTTCGTGGTGTTGGGTGATGGCTATAGATAAAAGTTCCTGGCCTGGAGCTCGCGGCTTCTTTGGATCAAAAGGATGGATTACTTGGCTGACTTACGGCGATTGGAGAGCCCTCCGACTTGACGAAGGCTCCCATGTAGTTGCCCCGCGGGATGAACTCGGGATGAGCTCCTGGCTGCTGCTGCTGCTGCGGCTGAGACGGTGGCGACCGCTGCGATTGCTGCTGCTGTTGGCTGTCGATCGCGTTCTGTGCCTGCTGCTGGAGCTGCTGGAGCTGCTGCATCTGGAAGTACTGCGCGTTGATCGACAGCTGCTGCTGCTGGCCCCCAGGGCCTGTAAGTTGGCCAGTGGCCAACTTCAGCCTTTGGACTTCCTCCTTGAGTGCATCGTTTAAAGCTGGAGGGAAAAACACACAAACTATCAGTTTATCTGCTGAAACATGGAATGTGCTTCCTACCGTCTCGGAGCTGTCCTTGTTGCTCCATGGCGGTTAGCCGAAGTTTCAGTTCGTTGTTCTCTGTGGTCAGCCCCGTTGTATCCCGCTGCCACCACGAAGCGGAAGTGTGACAAGAGGAGAAGAAAGAAACAAGTTTTACCTGAAGCATCGTCAACTGAGCCGATAGTGTTGTGGCTTCTGTCTGGAGCGTTTGTACTTTACGCTCCAGCTCGGAGATGTAACGCATCTTGCGCTCCTTCGAGCGAGCAGCTGACTGCCGGTTTGCAAGTATTCTGCAGCACAGAAAGAGAAAGCAGCTTAGCCATGTGATCATTCTATGAAACGAGGAAAGACAGCTCTACCTTTTGGCTCGTTTTGGATCAATAAGAGCAAGCTCGGCAAGCTTGCTGGCCGCAAGAGCCTTCTTCGCCTCGGTGCTGTCCGACTCCGAGTTTAAAAAGTCACTTTTGAAAGAATCCATCGAGTTGCTGTGATGGTGTCTTGGACGACGCGGCTCCGAGTTGGAGTTGCTGCCAGCCGGCCCTCCGGCATTGAAAGAAGCAAGCACTCCATCCGTGGACAGGCTCCGAGAATGGTGGTGTTGGTGGCTGGACCCATCCGACTTAGTGGGAGTTGCGGACGCGACGTTGAAGGAGTTGATCTTCTCCATGTCGATGTACATGTTGAAGAGATCCTCCCCGGCCTCGTCCGAGAGCGCAGGCATTGCCGGGCTCTGGAGTCCAAGCTCTCGCTCGAAGGACGCATCGTCGGGCAGACAAAACGTGATCTCCGACTGAGCCCGGCGATGGCCGCGAGGCCGAGGTGGAGCGTCCGGCATACGGTTCACATCCGTGCTGAAGCTGTGACCCGGGCTTGGAGCTTTAAGAGGACCACTCACGCTCGAGTTGCCGGGAGAAGTCACAGCGTCGTGCATGGTTACGTCTTTGGACACGGACACGAGCGAGGAGTCCGAGAGCGCCGGCGAGGTCTCCTGCTTGACCGAGAAGGCAGGATTGTTTGAAGATGGGTAGCCCACATAGCGCGAGTGAGACGGCAGTGATGACCCAGAATTCCCATTCGCAGAGTTCTTGGCGAAATCCGACTGGAGCCGCTCTACAAATGCCTCATACCCATCGCCCAGCCCCTCCATTCCCCCTCCCCCTTGTGTCTCTTCCCTGTTCTTCCCTGTTCTTCCTGTTTATTTCCTGTTCTACTCTAAAAAACTCTATTCCTTCGTTTAACACCTGGGAATCCGTCAAGACGGTCTAGCTTCCGTGCTCGGGGAGAAGGAAATCCACTCAGCCCTGCTTGAAATCGATGCTCCTGGCTCCTGGCACAGAATCTCCTGGAAGCAAAATGCCTGTTACTCCAAATTCCAAAGATCTACTCCATGCAAGGGCAATAGAATCAAGAATGCAGCTCCTGCCACGACCTAAATCCTCCCAGGCACGCCAGGAAAGCGCGAATGCGGCGCAAGGATGCACAGAACACTCGCAAATTCACTCCAAATACCGCTTACCTGGCCGCTGGAATCCCCCGAGATGCATCGAGGAGGCCGGATTGGAGCCCAACCCTCCCGCAGCTTTTGCGCGATCGATCTGCCGCTCACACAACACCCCTCCAAGGAGCCGCCGTGATGGAGATTATCACTGCCCTAAGCTATGCTCTAGATCCCTTGCTCTCTATGCTCTCGTAGTCGGGGGGGGGGCCGGCTGGCTATGGCGCTATCACAAAATGTTCTCTCTTTCTCTTGGCTAAAGCAAAATGTAAGCTATTGACGGGAAGGAGTTAATCTCGCCCGTCTATTACATGCATCCGACCGAGCAGTTTGAGCCACGTCAGAGAGGCCGTCAAGATTTTCAGTGGCCCAGATCCGTCCACGTTATCCATAACCAACCGTCTGATCTAGCCCAGGGCAGTAAAAGTCTTACGCGGAAAGTGCCAAGTGACGTGTCGCCATCATCTACGTCCGATGGGTATCGAACGAGATGCCGGTGGGCATATTCTGTCCGCGTCTCACCCAAATGGATGGTGTCACGTGGGTCGTCAGGGAATATTTCTTGTTTGTAGTTAGGATGCGGTTGGCTTCTCGACACGATGTTAAGGTAATGCCGCCACCTTTGATCCAATTTAGGGTTCTTACTTCTTCCGCCCAAGAACATTGACTGGATCATAATTCCATGCCCAGAAAAGTATTAATTTTTAACAATCGCTCGTGCATGCATGTGCCAAACGCCCCAGTGTCAACTCCCCTAGTAGAAAAATCCGGAAGTAAAGGTTTTAAATGGTCCCTAAGTCGAACAACGTTTTCTTCACTCAAAGCTTCATTTTATTGTTCTCAAATTCAAGAATGAATGCATAATCTAGCACTGCTATCTAGAAACCTTGCTTTTGGATTCCTTTTCAAGCAAGAAGAGCAAGGTGGAAAAAGACAAGGAATTTCTTCTCAAGCTGGTCATTTCACAAGATTTTAAGGGCATAAGTGGTTGTAAACACAATAATGTATGTAATTATTCGTATTGTATCATGTCATAAATTATCAGTTCACTTCAAGTTCTTTTTTTTTTTTTGTCTAGTTAATGCAAAACCAAATGCTTTGTCACCAATTAAGATTCACACATCCATAAACTTTAAGATCCAGGTGGACGCTGCAAGACCCTCAAAAACATGTATTATTATTCTTTGCCAAGGACTTCAAATCTTACAAGCTTGCATACATGACAATCTCTTTCTCATACTTGTACTTGAAAGGCTTGCACTATAGTAATACATGCACACCTAGAGGAGTTCATGAATGCCAAGAAAGAATAAAAGATTTTGGTGCTCTAGCTCCTCAAGCCACATTTTACTACATTATATTTGTTAAAAGCCACTTAATTAGTCATCCACAAAAAAGATAAAAGCCTAGAACACATAGACATGTGGGTTTAGCTGAAGTATTGTTTATGAAGTTTATGAAGAATGCAATGAGAAGATGGAGGCATGAGACCATAATGCAATGGATGCAAATTGAAAATTTTATCACTTTTAGTCCCTTTAGTCTTTAGTTCTAGGTACTCACATCTTTTGCTAATACCAAAGCTACTTTTGCTTTTCCAATTGAACACTGAGATATAAAACAATGGTGACTAATACCTCAATGATATTTTATAATTTTACTTTCATAAATGGAAATAATCAGGATCAAAAGAGTGAATTGAAATACTAAGATTTGAAAAAACGGAAAATAAAAAAACAAAAGAAATTAAACATAGGTAGAAGGAAATGAAATAGAAGTTAAAAACATGGAAGATGTAATAAGGGAGATAATTTAAAAGTGATCCAACTCTAAAGTTTATACCTTAATAATATAAATATAGAATTGATTTAACTTAGCACTATTGATAATCCTCATCTTGAAACCCATATTTCAATCCATTACTAAACTTGATTTTGCTATGTGATGTAACTAAAAATTGTAATATACAATTAAAAACTTAAGCTTGTATTATATAAAATTTTACAAGATTTGCAAACAAGATTTGTAAACTAGAGCAAGCTAGAATATATGACTTTTCTCCTTTTATTTTGTGATCTAATTACAGTTTTGATGAGATTATAACATTTATTAGGTTGAGAATAATGACTATGTGCCATCTAAACTTCTAGAACAGTTTAGGCTTCAAAGTATATATTTACAAATTGATAAGGTACAAATTACAATTTATAAGGTTCTAAATGTACAAATGTAAAGTCTAGATGTATGGCTATAACGTTGTATACTATTATTAGTATAGTAGGATTTTGGTAGCCATTAGATTAGTTTCAATCTGGACCACTTGCTTTTGTATATAAGTGTGAGACACAAATCCTTAAGCCCCAAAGTGGAGCAAAAAGGGTGCCACATGGTAATGGTCAAAGCAGAAGTCTAATAAGTGTAACATGTTTGAACCAAAGGCTCGGACTTGGAAAGTTGAGGGTGGGAGTGGAACTCCAAATGAAGTGCTTAAGGGATGAGCACAAAATAGTTGGTAAATGAGTCTCTAAAAAGGGATATAAAAAGGATTGACACATGATAAGTGCCATGACACATGAAAGTGTCAAGAATGAGTCCAAAAAAAAGTCTAAGAAGGAGTCTGAGATGGAGTCTGATATAGACCTAAGATGGAGTTTGAGATAGAGTTTGATATGAACCCGAGATGGACCTGATATGGACCCAAGATAGAACCCAAGATGGAGTCCGAGATGGACTCGAGATGCAATCCAAGATGGACCTAAAATGGGGTCTAAGATGGACCTAAGATGGAATTTGAGATGGAGTCTAAGATGGACTAAAGATGGAGTTTGATATGGACCCAAGATGGAGTCCAAGATGGACCCGAAATGGAGTCTGAGGTTGAGGTCGAGAAAGAGACTGAGACTGAGATTGAGACTGAGACTGAGTCTGAGACCAAGTCTGAAATTAAGTCCAAGACTGAGTTTGAAATTGAGCCCGAATCCGAATGTGAAAGCCCAAAGTGATTGTCTCCCAAACCCTGGGAGGTTTGGTGAGCTCCAAAAGTATAGTAAGGGGAAAACTCTAGGAAAGCTAGTTTAGTCAAAGAAGGTTAGTGGGACCATACCTATGTGTTGGGTGATGATATAACTATTGAGGAGTCCAATACTAGAGTGAATATGAACAAACAAGTGGGGTAACTTAGTGAAGTGTTCAAGAGTTGACTCTAGCTTTAGGATATTAAATAGTTGATGCTCCCAATCTAAGTATGGGTGGCACTACGTATTTGGATACCTAGCATGGCTCAATAGAACCTTGCTCTAGCCACTTGGCTAGGGCACATAAAAGTGGAAAGTGGGGAGAGTACCCATAAGGTCCGTGTAAGGCCATGATGTTTCGAAATATCATCCCAAAGTCCCAAACTGTGGAAAGGAAGACGAGTAGTCCTCTAATGTAGTAACCAAGGATACAATCACAAGGTGAGGAAGTTTTAGAGGACAATAGGACTTAGTGGTTGAGTCTTTGGGTCACCCAATGGCAATGTTGGCGAGCATGGTCATGGATGAAGAGGGACTTGGCAGGGACGGAAGAAGGGACATTGAGGAAGGGTGTTACCCATGTCTTTAGGCATCCTAAGGGTGCTAAGGTGTGGTCAAAGGATGACCACTCATGGATAGATGACTCAGTCTTTGAGAGATGGGATGGTGATGCAAATGGTCTTGGAATACCAATATGACAAAGGTGAATGAGCATGGCTTTAACATAATAGGCTGATATGTCAGTGGTACCTTTGAATATTGGTTATGGGGTCAAATATGTGGAGCACTTGGACCAAGTGCAAAGGCTAAGTGGCATAAATGCCATTCACAGGGCTAACATGTCCCCTAATCCTAAATAGAACTTATGAAAATTGTTAATGAGACTCTTCCAATTAATATATACATTTTTGTATTCCATTTTTATTCCATGCAGTCAAAGAGTGTTGTCAAGGGTGGTTAAAGTAAATATATACACAAGTTCTACAATATCTTGATGAAGCGTTAACCACAACATTCCCAACTTAATCTACTTTAACATATTTGGCTTACACGAAGTAAGAGGCTTTAAAGACATGTAAAAAACTCATGCTAACACCCAACATCACCTCAAGAATGATACATAAAGTGATTGAACCAATGGTATATATCATCCTTAAGATTCCTATGGAAGAACTTTAGCCAAACACGAGGATTAATAACAAAAGTAGAAGGAGTTGTATTAGGTGCTATGAATGGTGCTATCAACTAAGTCTAATTTTTCAATTGCAACTACATAACATCAATCAATTATACCAAATGTTGCTCTAAAGTCAAAGAAGGAGGAAGTTGCCTCTAGCTTAAAGTTTAGCTTAAAGTAAAGCTTAAATATTACAAAGTTAAGTGATATTTAGATAATACAGAAGTTAAATTTAAACAAAAAGCACAAATCCAAGTACTTCTCAAAAACAATCAAAGTTGCCTCTCATTTCTATTAATGTAAGTGTATGGAATATAAAAATAAATTATAAGAATATACATATCAATTAAATATGAATGGCACAACATTATGAAACATCACCTATTGCATATACTTAAACTCCACTTCATGTGAGAGATGATCTAATTCTAATGGAAGAAGGGACAACTCAAAAAATGATTTATAAGGGTTTAAATATAAAGAGAAAAGGTCCATTAACAAGAGTGCCATTGTGCTTTTGGTTTAAATTTAACTTCTGCATTATTTAAATCTCACTTAACTTTATAATATTTCAATTTCTTCTTTTTTACTTTTATATGAGTGTAAGACACAAATTCTAAACCCCAAAGTGGAGCAAAAAGGGTGCCACATAGTAGTGGTCAAAATGGAAGTTTAACAAACATAACATGTTTGGACCAAAAGCTCTAACTTGGAAAGTCGAGAGCGGGAATAGAACTCTAAAAAAAGTGCTCGAGAAATAAGCATGAAGCAATTGGTGAATGAGTCTCTAAAAAAAAAAGGAACATGAGAAGAGCTAACACATGGCAAGTGTCATGACACATGGAAGTGTTAGGAACAAATCCGAGAAGGAGTTTGAGATGGAGTCCAAGATGGAGTCCAAGATAGACCTAAGATAGACCCAAGATGGAGTCCAAGATGGAATCCGAGATAAACCCAAGATGGACCCAAGATGGAGTTTGAGATGGAGTCTGGTATGGATTTGAGATGAAGTCCAAGATGGAGTCCGATATGGACCCAAGATGGAGTCCGAAATGGATCCAAGATGGAATCCGAGATGGAGTCTGATATGGACCCGAAATGGACTTGAGATGGAGTCCAAGATGGATCTAAGATG